CCAGTAGTGTACTTGTTGAACTCACCTGCCTCTGAATGTCTTTCCCCTTTCCAGAGCTGAGAGTGTGTGATTCACTGCCAGGTGAAAGGTCTGTGTCTCAGCAGCAGAGGTGGCTGAGCTGCAGCAAACACTGCAGCACTGCTGTTGAGTGGAGTCTCAGTCATGCTATATGCAGATGTGTGATAGATAGAAAGTAATGCATGTGCACTAGCTTGTCTAGAAAATGGCATCTGCAAAGAGAATTTGAGTTCATTTACCTGAGAATAAATACCACTTGGATGAAAACGCAGATACCATATTGCTAGCTTAAAGTTTTACTTTTCAGCCATACAAAATTATCACTTCTATTTTCTCAGCTAAGTCTGGTTACATCTTATGCCAAGAATATTCTCTACTCTAAACTTCAGTTGATCGAGTGTGTCTCCTGACCAAAATCAATTATATAAGATGCATAATTAACTGTACAAGTCCATTATAATGTGAACTTCTCTGTCTCACAGACCAGGATTCCTAAGGGTCAGAAGCTCAGCCTCTTAACAGTTTCCAGTACTGATTATCCCCTGTTGCTTTAGTTATATTACAGTAACTATGGCAGTAGTGTTCCATCTATGACTCCCCAGAGATGTGTATTAATGAGAATGCAGAAAGGGCAATAGGAGTCTGAAGTTTGAATTCAGGCTAGATATGTAGTTTTGGTGGTGAGGAATGTAAATGACACAGTGATCTCACCGTGTCACTGATCTGTACAGATGGAATTGTGGTCTTTCATGGTTCTTAGGCATTTTCCTTTTCACTATGTGAGCAGAAATCGAACATGAGCAGGCCTGGCCCAGTACAGGCCTTTTTAATGGAAAATATTAGTTGACACTTAAAAATCACAGAAAAATGAGATTATTTTTCATTTTGTCTGTATTGAGGGATGGGGTTGTTTTTATCTCAAGCTTTGTAGCTAACCCTGCTGTCCTATAGGTTGTGGTGATTTTCTTTGGAGATCCTTTTCTGGGAGTCTGTTCAGGTCTCCCTCTCCTGCTCTCTCTCTCCTCCTGAAATGTGCTCCTCTCTCTTCCTTGGATGCCATCTGGGTGTCTGTTCCTGTCTCTGGTTCCCATTTGCCTTGGCTGATGTTTGTTGACATGAAATGGGGTAGGGAAACAGAGACATGGAGACTGCAGAATGAGGAACCCTCTGCAAAGAGCAGGACAGGGAATGTTCCCATTCAAGGCAATGGATGTTTACCTCTTCCCGCAACTGCCTGTGCACGTGGACCAGTGCTGTGGTCTGGTACCAGGAAATGGATGTTTACCTCTTCCCACAACTGCCTGTGCACATGGACCAGTGCTGTGGTCTGGTACCAGGGCTCACCTCTGGGTTTGCATCCACTGTGTCTAGGTGAGCACATGGGATGTAGGTAGACCCTAAGAATGTTAGCACTTGCCTGGAGGTTGGGAAGGTCTGAGCTGGCAGCCCAGGGAATGGTTGGGGTGAAGGGAGCAAGACTTAGGTGTGGAGCTTGGCTGCTGAGTCCTGAACCATCTCATTTTTCCATCTGCCCCTTTTTCTTCCTGCGTCCACTGCCTTAACAGTGTAGGTCATGCAGGTACAGCAGGACCTAGGCAGAGCAGCTCAGGTGAACTGAAGAAAAAACATTGTCTATATAGCTCATTCCTATGTTTTAGGGAGCATTCCCACAAATTTGCAGTACTAGGCTCTCTCTTAGGGGGAAAACAGCAGCAAACTTATGAATGTAAGATGATGCCTTCTTCCTGGAGGTGCAAGCTCCATTTCTCATGTTCTTTTATCTGTAGCAATCCCTTCTGTGCTTTCCTCACTGCCTGTGAACCTTGTGAGCTAAAATGGGGCTGAGGGTATCATGCAGTTGTGGGGGAAAGTATTGCAAAGCAGCTAGGTGCAGAAGCAAGGCTTGGCAAGTTATTGCTTGATCTAGCAATATGAAAAAGTTGGTGGTTTGCCAGAAGTCCCCTGTCTGGTAGACACTTGAGGCACAAGAGTTGGCAAATGAATAAACTTCGCACTATTCTAAATTTCTTTCCTTTATAAGGAAGCACAGTTTGGGGCTGTGGGAATAACTGGATAAAGTGAAACTAGGATGGTTGATGTGTTTTAAAGTCTAAGTGCCCACTCATCTCATCTTTTAAGAGGCTTGTGTGGCATACATATTGCTGAGGGAGTAAGTAGTCACGTGTCCCTCCCTTGCAAGAAGAGATTGTAGTGAAGAGCAGTAACATGCTTTGCTGATATTAACAGACCTTCAGCTTCACAGACTTTGCTATTTTCCTTCCACATGGGTTTGTGGGTGTAACGGAGAGCTGTATGGCTTTGTTTCTCTTCTGTTTTCCTTCCACGTGGGTTTGTGGGTGTAACTGAGAGCTGTATGGCTTTGTTTCTCTTCTTTGGGCTTCCTGTATAGAATATTTGATGTAAAAATAGCAAAGGAAAGACAAGACAGGAAATTATGCATTATAAATTGGAGGCCTCAGACTATATCTTGGGGAGGCTGTGTAGGTGCTGTACATCTCCCACGGAATTGGTCCTGAATCTGTTTATTTCTTTCAGTGCATTGATTTGATTGTGTGGTTTCACTGCATGGTTTACCCCAGTATTGGCTCTTTTCAGTCACACACCGAGTGCACTGAGTGAACCAGGAGACTGTTCTGCTCCCACTGGTGTCCTGCCCCTCTAGTAGGATGCTGCAAGGTGAATGTGTAAAATCTGGAGACCATCCACTGAGCCTTAATGCAACTGGGGTTGGGTGTGATGTCTCAAATGTGACATTATGTTCTTTGGACGTGCACTAGATAACAGAGTTGAATATGTAGCAACTTAAGTGACATAGTACAGCCCTTCCGTTCACTAGCCAGTTTTACAGATGGTGGAAATAACTCTTTGAATTTCTGCTGAAATGTGAAAACTGAGCAATGCTGAACTTTATCTGAACGGATTATCTGTACCTTAAGAGGCAGCTGGTTTCAGTCAGCACCTTTTGTTTCCCTGCTTCAAAGGGCAGTTTTTCAATATGTTTTCTTGAAAAAAATGAAGCTACTGCAGGCTCCTGTGCTTTGCTAGCATGTTGGTAAGGTACTTCCTGTTTACCTACAAAAATCACATCTTCCATATCAAACTGGGCTCTCTGGGGTCCTGATTAAGTCAAGATTCAGCTTTGTTCTACAAGTGAAACAAACCCTGTTAGGATTTCACTAGCCTTTGCATCTCGTGATGGTACAATATTTCTTCCATGTGTTCAGGCTCAGTCTAGGTCCCAGATACCAGATGTTATTCTAGGACTGCTCTGAACAGACCTGCTGGTGCTTTCAGCTCACTCAGGTGACAGAGTGAAAGCTCTGCAGGACCAGATGAATGCACTGCAGAGCTTGTTGGAAACCCAAACAGGTAACCTGCCTAGCCCAGCACCCATCCTTACCCTCCTGAGGGTCTTCAGTCTCTTCTTTATATGAGTTATGGTATGGGCAGGGTATTGCACAGCATCTTTGAGAATCATATTGTTTCACATGTACCTGTTCTCTGTCAGGACAGCCTTTTCACTCTTCCCCTTTTGCCTGCCATGGGAAGCCATTAGAGAAGTTTCATGCTATTTTTTCAAATTCATTTAGGCTTTTCATTGAATGTCTGTCCTTGTTTTTCAGTTTATGACCACTGAGGTGGAATCTATGTCAGAGAAACAATTTCTTGTAGTCTATAAAATAGTTGTGCCTTTATCATCTGAGCAATAAATGCAATCAAAGGTCTATTTCTGGACCATTTCATACCTAACTTGCTCCAAGTTTACCAGTGCTTCACCTAAAATAATTACTCTCCAGCCATTTGAGGACTGGCCTACTATATCAAAAAGAATAACTGAATTTTTCTACAAGACGGTTTTCTACCAAGTTTGTTTTAATGAGGCTTATTAATGATTTACTGGAATGATAATGTATATGTTTAAAAAACCCACACCAAAATATCAATATACCTAAAGGCCTGAACTAACAACTTAGTGCAGAAACTTGGTAGAGATACAGTGACTGAGTTCAAAGGTGAGGAGGAGGCAGAGCATGAGTGTACCATAAGCACAATAAACTATGTAGTTTACCAAAACAACAAGGTGAATGTTTATGTGCTTAACAGCTCTGGTCTTATCCAAAATGATACCAAGATGAAATATGAAGACAGAAGAGCCTTACTTTCCTCCGTTAACTCATGTGCAAATCATTTGGTGCATTACATTCAGCCCGAGACCTAGTACATCTTTTCTTTTTTACTGTGGTGCAAAATTTTAACCAAGTTAAAGACTCTTTGCTTGCTGCTGTAAACCTCTGGTGCAAGAACAGTTTTAAGAGCATCATTTTGCAAGAGCAGCAGATGCATGGTATCCAAGACAGAGCTGAATAAGTGGTGCAGAAGAAGGGTGTGAGTGTTCTTTTCAGGCTTCAAAAGGCACCTTGATCTTTACCTCATTTTTATCTTCTTTGCCACAAACCAAAGCATGAAGCATAATCGCTTTATTTTTGTGCCAGTGTTGGGAGGAAAACTTAGCATGACACTGTTACACACAGTTATTTGTGAACACAAAAATTTGATTTTGACTGAGGGTCAGTCACTGTTGATCATTTATTATTTCCATTGATCCATCATGGACAAGAGCAACATTCTTAACTAATCAATCATTCCACTAAGAGGTGGGATGAAATCCCATCCAGTCATGCCACCAAGAGAAAAAACCATGCACTCTATTTCAATATTTCGAGGGGGGAGATTTAAAAGCTGACTGTTTTTTATTCCAGCATTTAAGAGACAAACACACAGTGAAAATACCCACCCATTGACGTGGGCTGTGTTTTGAATTCTGCCATTACAGGAGAGCATCCATTGGTCCTTCTTAATAAAAGGGAAGCTTTCCCAAAAGAGAAACGACCAGCATCCCAGAGGGAAGCTAGAACCGAGACTGCAGGCAAAATGGATTTCTGGAGAAGTCCTTGTCATGTTTATCGCTTCACATTAATGGAGGCATATTCTGTAAATTCATTTTCTACAGTTAGTTCCCTTCTCTGGCATCTTTCTGCAAAAGCAGAATGATTTAGTGCAGCATATGTGAGGACATCTGTGCTTTCTAGTAAAACTGGGGTGGAAGGAATAACATGATCACTGTGAGGTGCAGTAGGTGCTGTCCTCTGAGCATTCCAGGGAGGGACACTATTGTCATAAATTGCATTGTCCTTCAAGGCCTGCAGTGGGCTAGCCATGGAGCAATGAAGTGAGGAGCTTTCTTCTGAAGCTTGAGTTGTCCCAGCAGCATGGGATGGAGCAGCTTCTGGACTCATGACCTGCAGAAAATAGAACAAGGTACTGCTCTGTGTGTATCTGGTTGTTGCCTGCGCTCCTGCTAAATAAGAGGCATGTAAGATTTTGTTCAATTGCTTTAAACTGCACGGGTGGATTGAATTCACCTGGTCACTGGATTTTATACTGATCTTTGAAATAAAGTTAGAAATCACACCTCTGTCTCCTGCTTTTCTCCATTTCCCTTCTCAGACTCTGTGTTTCCTTGCAAGATGCCATATTAATGCAAAACTGATACAGATTTTGTGAGGGCACTTCCATGCTACTCATAAGGCTTTCCCTTATCAGTTAATGAAATTTTATGTTCACTTCCAAAACCCACACTACCTTTTCCTAATTTCCCCCCATTCTCTCATTTCCTGATCTCTTGCTTCTTATCCTCTTTCTTATTATTTTCCAAATAAATCTTTCTCCTTCTCCAAAATCTGCAAATTCCTCTATAAAGTCATCACTCTCTAAAGAAGTCATTTTCTGTCATGCATTTTTCTAGCCAGTTAGAATATACTACTTTCAAGTTTCTTTCCTCCAACTTGCTGTTTGGGAGCCCTACAACCTGTTTGGTGCCCTCTGATCCCCACCAGCACAATCCCAGTGACTGATAGTGGTCAGCTCTGGTTGCATCTCTTGCATTCTGCCTTCTGGAAGTATTTGCAAGACACATGTGAATTCATGCTAGTCACATATTAAAGTCTTTCTTTCCAGTCACTCTGCAGGTCGATTTTTGTTTTATGCAGACAGTCTGAATCAGATCAGCATAGGTGCTTCAGGTGCCTGAACTATTACTGGAAGAATACTTACAAATTAATATGTTTTAACAGGAAATCAGATGCCTAAAGTACCTTTGTGGCTAAGACCCTTAGTTGCTTCCCTCAACTCAGCCATAATGATATCTCACACCGGGCAGGCCATGCTATCCAGACATGAAGAGGGTCACTGAATCTGTCTCTGATCCCATTCCATGTTTTGTACTACATAAAGATTTGTTCTCGGTATGTGGTTCTGCAGGATATGGGCAAGTTTTAATGATGGAAAAAGTTAAACATACCAGTCTCTCTTGTCTCTGTTTGGTTAATGGAGTTCTCTTCTGCTTTGCTGGGAAAAAGAAATTTAAAAAAACATGTTTCAATAAGTCAGATGTCTTATGGAAGAAGTAATAATTACCACAGAAGTCTTTGCCTTGTTAAGTGGACCTCAGAAAAAACTCATCTATTTCCAAACTGGATTTGGGAATAGCTATCCTGACAAAAGCTAAGCAACACAGAAAGCTGCATTTATAGGATGCGTTTCTGTGTTCCACAGAACTTCTCTGAATACAGGCAGAAAAGTTCCTACTGTACTTACATCTTTCTCTGTGCTCAGTGACCTGGGTGGGGAGAAACAGGCACAGAAAATCCTAAAACAATCCTATGAACAAACATCTTAAATGCTATTGGAAGATAATTTTGTTTTCTAAAATTATTTTAAAATAAGGTATTGTAATAGGCAGATGTAAGAGCACTTAAACTCAGATATGGGAGACTCTAAGTTCCATTCTTGACTTAGGACATGCCACCTGTGTAAGAGTTCCTGTAAGGCAGAAGAGATCAATAGTGTAATTATTTGACAATTTAGAGGGAAATCCAGGCATAGAAAACTTAACTGGATAGAGCTTGACTGCATTTGCACAGCTAAAAATCCTATTCATTTCAATGTGATTATTTGCAAAATGGGAGATCTCTTATAACGTCTGAGATTTTCATTTGTTTTTACTTTACTTCCATTCCTATGTCTCTGGAAGGGAACAATACATGGGGCAAATTAAGGTCTTAAAGATTCAGTATTCTAAACTGACACAGTTGACAAGAAGATCTTAGTAATCAGTTGGGGCAATTCTTAGGGAATTTTCATAGAGCTTTGAATGCAACTTCCATGAAGCTGTGAAAAGGAGAGTAATTAAATGCATACTAGGCAAAGGTCAGGTGGTAAAACTGCTTACCATGGTACCTCTTTAGACACCAAAACACACATCCAATGATGAATGGGCAACATAGACCCACAGATGCTGAAGCATAAATAATGTGCAATATCTTGGAGTTTCCAGACTCTTGAGACTCTTCTGAGATGCTAGTAGTATCTAAAATGGCATTAGCATTTATTAGCATAGAGAAATATTCAACTGACTTTTTATTCCTTTTTCTCTTTCTTTAGTATTAGGTCTTTCTGCTGCAAGTGGCTTCTTAATGCACTCAAATATGCTGTAACTTAGTGCAGCATGTCATGAGATAACCTTAGCTCCATGGGCACTCCACAAAGTATGAAGATATTGGAAGGAAAAGTGCACAGGAAAGTGTAATTGATGAAAAATGCATGACAGAAACAAAGAAAAGGTCAGAATTAGAGGAATTATTTGAAATTCAATAAATTGGAATTGTGAATTGTAGCTAACTGTGCATAAAGTGGTGGTATAGCATGATTCTAACGCTTTGTAAGTATAAGCTGTATATCACTGGCATATTAAAGAGTGTGCCAGAAGTGTAGTGTATAGCATCAGGATGTAATTTAATTGACTTTGACCCCTTTATGCTGAATGCTGGACAGTCCTAGCCTTGAAAACTATGACCCTTGAGAGATTATATTTTGCTCGAGCAGAAAGAAAGCAATTGTAGTCTAAAGTTAAAAATTGTCTTGACTTCGCAAAGCACTCTAACCAGAAATGCATAGCAATACAGATTAGTTCCTTTCTCTTAAAGAGGAAATAAGAATCAGAACTTACTTTCTGGTGAAACTGTGATGAAGGTTGAAGACTCCTCTGAAAGAGAAAAGTAAGACAGGGAAGTGAAACAGCAACCTGACATTTTGCACAAATGGCATCACGTAAAGAGAAGGATGTTTTGGAGAAGGAGGAATGGTGTTTTTGCCTCCTTCTGCCAACAGAGCAATTCTAACTTTCAGGTCTCTCTGTCGTACAAACAAATAGACATGTTTCAAAGGGAATGTGTATCATGAGCTGGGCATATACTATGTTTACTAGCATGTTACAGCCATAAATTTTTGTGTTGCTCCCTCTGGTGCAGCATTAAACAAGGTTTTAAAGTTCAGTAACTTACCAAGAGAGGAACAGGCAACAGAACAACCTTACAACTCACTGCCCGGGGTCATTAGGATGCTGTGACCACACAGGTAACTTTCTGCCTGCAGAACAACATTGAGGAGGGCAGATGTGGCTTGTCATAATCTAGACTCGGCATGCCAACTGCCTAAGTTAATGAGAAGACTTCACTTGCCCTTTAGATCATTTAAAGCTATTGTAATATTTCCTGCTCTTGAACTTGTTGGGGTATAAAATTATACTTTGTTTGTTGCAAGAGAGACCATTCTCAACAAGACACTCAAATGGCTTAGTCCTCTTCATGTTGTGCAGCCTCCTCAACTGCTACTGCATGACCATTTGCACCCTGTCTAGTCTGTGTGATGTATAACCAGGCTGTTCTCCCACATGCTGTTTTTGTTCCAACTGACATTTTTTTATTAGCAAATAATCTGCTAAGGGCTGTTTGGTATTGGCATCTCTGTGTTTCTCTTCCAGATCCTCCTGTTATTTCTTTATTTCCATGCTACCAAGAGTCAGGATAGAATCATGAAGGAGGTGGCAAGTACCAGTACAAATGTGCTGCCAGTTAAATATGCCAGGAGAAGCCATCATCCATCATGCATGAGTTTTTTTCTAAGTGGCATGCTTTTGTTTAAAAAGGCTCTTTCAGAATACAGGGGTCTCACCTTCAACAGTAATGTATATTCCATGGCTCTCAATGGAAAAGTTGTCCACATTTGCCTGACAGCGATACAGTCCTCTATTATATAGAACAACTGGGGAAAACTCCAGAGTAAACACAGTAGACTTCCATTCTTCTTTGCCCTCCTTCAGCTGCACACATGTATCCATCTCCAACTTGCACCACCTCATGCGTGGCTTTCTCTTGCAGTAACGAACTGGACACTCTATAGTCAAACTGGTCCCAACAGCAGCTTTGTACTGGGAGTGTCTTTTAATGTGAATTTCAGGAAAACAACCTGTGTCATTAAATCCTGGAAGAAAAGCACAACACAAATCATGGTGTTGGGGGTCTGCTATATACTCCCCATAACACTAATCACAGTTTCTTTTCTCTGTTATTACTCAAGACTTCCCTTGTCTACTTGCAGCAGATCTGTTCTCTATATGGGACTGTGATAGCAGATAACATCAAGGCTATTGGTGCTTTCATTTTTAGGAAGATTATTAAATGTACTTCCTCCCTCTGATATGAACTTTCCCTTTTTTTTCCCCTATGTCTTAGTCAAGTTAGAAATGTAGTAGTTCAGAAAGAAAATACGCAAAATAAACATTGCAAATCTTCCTGTGTCACCCTTCTCCCAGACCTTATCTATTACTTTTAGGTTTCATTCAGATTATTTACTTCACAACTGTTGTTAACTTGCAGAAGTAAAGGCTTTTCTTTGGTAGATATTGTAATATTGGAAAGAATTATATTTCATGCAAATATACCTTATCTATATATTTAAAATTTGGTTACATTTTGTTACATTTTTTTTAGTTCACAACTACCACAAGCTGTGGTACATCACTTTAACTCTGGGTCTTGGTATTGCACGTCCTGACCCTTTATTAAAGATTCATATTTCTTGTGGTGCTTTATCTGTCTGGTTAATTCAAAGTAACAAAAACTATGTGATACCCATGTGCTTCCTACTGCCCTACCTTCACTTAAAGTACAGTGCTTATGCACTGAAGAGAGTGATTACTCTTAAGTATATCTGTCTCTGAAATATATTTGCATCTTAGAAATCTTAAATATAACTGTATCTTCTGGTTAATAGAGAGGATTAGAAAAAATGGCAAAATATGTTGAAGGCAAGTTTTGTGGGGAGAAGAAGTGTGTAGGGGAGAACAGTGCAGTGTGGGGAGCAGAGCAATCAGCAGCCAGTGTTGTTTCAAGGGACAAAGCCTCTGGGCCCCCATGCAGCCAGTGCACATAACTGCAATACCAAATATCTGGATAATATATTCAAGAGCTTGGGATGGTCAGATTAACAGTTTTTATTTATGACCTCTACTTTGTCTTTTCTCTACAAGTCTCAGACTGCTCCACATCGTAAATAAGTTGTAGAGCACTCAGTAATACTGAGTTTAGATCATGTGTGTTTGTAGCCTTCATCACAGCATAACTATTGCTTTGCTGCTGATTTCTCAGTTTGCTCTCTTGAAGGTGGCTTTGGAAATGGGCATCTAGAAATCAGGTAGCACTCATCTGCCTGTAAACTTCTATCTTGAATATTGTTCTCATTCTGCCCTATCAAATGTACCTGAACTTGCCAGATAACAAGGAGGAGGTTATTCACTGTAAGGCTTATTTATAGCCACTGCAAGAAATTGTGTCTTCTGATATATCTCTACCATGTGTAATATTGAAACTCATCTGCTCATGTGGCATCCTGGAAAGTTTCTGCTTTGAGGGGTCCAAATCTGAAGTAATCCTTGGATACCAACTTTTCCTTAGTCAGGATGGTTTTAAATGAGGACTGAAGTGGGGTGAATAGAATGGCAAAAAGAAACTTAGACAAGGACTCTAGAATTGGTCCTTGTGGAATGGGCAAAGGGAGGAAATTTGGATAATTTGGATGGAGATGAGAAAATTAATGAGGAGGACAACAGTTCTGGGTACAAACAATATCTTTTTACTAACAAAAACATTTGGATAAAAACCAAGGGGAAGTAGGAGCCTGAATTCATTCAATGTCCCTAAGAAGAGAAGGAATGAAGCAGCAGAATAAAAATAGATGTGTTCGTCAAAGAAAGCTTGAGTAAGTTTGGAGACCTGGGAGGTATGAACTCCTCAGATGTAAAGACAAAGGAAAAGGACATAACTGAACTAGTGGTCTATCCAGTAAATGATGAGAGTATAAGCACTCAGCATCAACACTATAGCAGTGCAGCAAAAGACTACCTTGGCCAAATCATGAGCAAACTTTTCACTGAAGCAAGAGGAAAGCCTCTAAAAGCATAAGGAAGGACAGGTTATAAAGGAAGGGCATAAAAGAATTGAGCAACATTGGAAAAGTCACGGCAGACAATGAAATGCTCTTATGAAAACACATCAAGTGTCAATATACTGATTGTAAAACTAAGAAAATAATAGCACACTAGTTAGTGGAGACATAAAGCTATCACTAGATTACCCTCAGTAAATCAGATTTAACAGAAAAATTGGAGAAATTATTTGTAAAATGGCAGGCTTAGTTCAAGAAGATATACAGGGGGCATGTGGTAAGCTTTGTGTTCTGCCAAGAACTGGTAATTGCACCTAGGTCTTGTCCAGTGTTTTGCACTGCTCTTCAAGAAAGAAGTAATGCAACGCTTGGAGTCTCTCCAAGTTGGAAAGAAACCAGTAAGCACCATGATTATGACAAGAAGGCCACAAAGGAAAGCTTTAAATTCTTGTGGTTGTTTGACTTAAAGAAAAGCAATGACAGGAAAAGACATAATAAAATCATTTAGAGATATAAAAGAAAAAAAATAATCTGATTTTTTCATGTTTCTGTTAGGTATGGGGAGAAATAGCAGGCTAAAAAGTGAAGAAAAAGACTAGTTTGAAAAACTTCCTAACCATGAAAATAGTAATACTGGAACTGATTTCTCTGGAAGTTTGTAAAGTTTGAATCATTGGCAGACCTGAGGACTAGCCTACACAAACATACAGATCTATATACATATACATATATATATATGAATTTACATTCTAAACTGTAGACAGGTTCATGGACATCAGATCCATAAATGGATACTGAAAGGACTTGGAAAGATGCATGTGCTGATGTCCCCAATGCAACTGTTCTACTTTTCCCAATGCAACTGTCCCATTGCTGGGGGGACAGGAAAAGTCACAGTATGGCCACAGAAAGTGCTCTTCTGCTCTTGTGCTCCCCCCTTAACAGCATTTCTTCTTGCTGCTGCCTGAGACAGAGCACTGGTCTCAGGCAGTATGGCATTACTTAAATGGTCTCCACTGATGCACAAAATGTGCTCTTGATCTGCTTTCTGCTACAGCATTGTTTCAATAGTAGCTCCTGATTATAACTAAATATGTGGTGCACAGGTCCTTCTCCTAAGGACTATCCATTGGGATGCACTTGCATAAGCAATATATTTAGTATAACATTTACCATATTGTATGATATTTAAAGTGAATAAAAGAATTAAATGTAGCATTTAATATATTAAATATATATAATATTGGGGGATTATTGCAATGTATATGATATAGCACGTGTATTGCAGTATCAATAGCTTTAACATGCAGAGCATGGCCATGTTCACAAGGTAGTATTTAGGTGTAAAGTCAGCATTCCCTGCCTATACATCTAGTCCCTTCTCTGCATCCCTGAAGAAGATAATGCTGAAAGACATATTTTAGTTATGAAGTAGGATCACTTCTCTTTCACTTAGACTCATCTATCTCTGATTAAAAGTAAGTATGATTTGATTAAAAGAAAGTATGATTTGGTTTCACGCAAGTAGGTCAGATCTACTTTGGCTGTACCACATTAGTAGCACATGGTTATCACTAGTCTGAAAATGGAAACTAAAAGCTCAAATTAGAGAGTAAAGATTTCAGATATTTAAGCAGTGATTGCCATGGAAGATAATGCTTCAGGAAGTATCTATAAAGCTCAGATTGGGCCCTGATAGCAGCCTTCTTTCTGACATAATCCTGTGTAACAGACATTTCCAGAAGGATGTGTAAGTCTCTGCAGAACAGATATTTTCTGATGTCTTTCATTTAATCATTTTCTCATAAAGTTTTGCCTTATAAAAAAATTCTCTTTTGGAAAAACAAACAAAAAACAACCAACCAACCAAAACAGAACCCAAATACCCCTGCTCCCCCCTGACAAAAGAAAAAAAAGTCCTAAAACATTCATAGGAGGTCCAAAAAGTCTCAATTTCAGTTTTAAAACAGATTGCAGTCACACTCTCTCATTCAGCATCATTATTAACCAGGGAGAGGGACAGGAGCTGTTGTACCTCTTTCATTCTTATCTTTTTGCAGAGCAAGGATGTCATGTTCCTCTTAATTTCGAAGCACCTGGTGCTTTTACATGCAGGTATACCTCACTACCTACTGTAACTTTTGGAAGCATCACCCGACCATCACTGAGGAAATTCTGTGCATCCAGCAGCATTCACTTGGGACAAGACTACTCATTCTCATGAATTCCAATGGACATTAGTTGTGTAGGTAGTTGGAAAGTGTCTTATCAATATTACATATTGCTCTAAAGAAATGTTTGTCTTGCACTGGTCAGTCTAACTTAGAATAAAGCTCAGAGGCAGAATCTCCCAGAGTGAGGGAACTGGGGTGATACTGGTTGCACAGAGGGTTTTGTATTACCCTCCAGCCACATCCTTAGTGGGTATATAGAAATTTCCTGAGCAGAAACCTCATTGAGGTCTTGATGTACTTCAAGGGTAGTTTTTGTGCGGCCCTTGCCCTGTAGGTGAAAGGCATAAGCAGTTCAAGTTTTATATGGTTTCACTGATGTCACAATGAGAAAATCCCATCCCTAGAACATCCTGCATTAGTATCAATTAAGTCATAAGGAGCTATTTCACTGCTAACAAAGGATTTAGTTGCTTGCAATTTATTCTTTGGGGTTTTTGAAGTTTCACTGGCATTGGTATCACTTGTTCTACTTTTCCTTATATAGTATATTTTGAAGAGTGTTCAGATAAAATCTTCCAGTAAGTGAGCTTGAATAGTGTTTCTCCTTTTTTCCCAAGGGCATATACAAACATGTGCCACAGTTTTGTTCTTTCATCTTCTTGTGGTGATCATTCACTTACTAGTATAATTCTAATATAATCAAGTCTGGTTAAATTCTGTTCCCAGGACAAAATTTCCTGCCATTGAGTTGGCCTGATTCCAAGATCCTTGCTTTCTCCAAGAAGTTACCTATGGAATATGCCATTGAGCTTTCGACAACTGCATGTAGGAAGAGTTTGTACTGCACTTGGTACCCAGTCCAACAGTGTCACTGCCTGCTCAGGATTTCTGAGGACAAGAGCCCTACTGTCCCACTGATCCTTGGAGGCACTTTCAGATAGACATTTGCAATACAGCATTACACACACACCTGCTGGCTCTTAGCCTTTATTTCTGATTGCTGATGCAGGTGATTGTGTTTGGCTGTCAATTAACCCAGCACACAAATCCTCTTCCTCTTTTCTCTTAAAATAAGCGAGGGTTAAGACTACTGTGCTTCACGTGGCCTTCCATTTTTCTTGAGTTTACAGTGCATTTTGCTTTCTTCCAGGACAGCTACAGTGTTCATAGAAAAAAAAATAGCTTGCTGAAACTTCATTTAATTTTCTTAGTTATAATTTCTGGATCCCTTGGAAAAAGCCTGTGGATGCCAGGTAAACACCATTATTTTACTCTGTGATTTTATTTGTTTATAATATTTTTCCCCAATGTCTACTAGAGCAATCTTTCAACCTTACTAATGAGCTCTTCAAGCTACAACTTTCATTTCAGTGTGTTTGACAAGTTGTAGACTGTCTTCAGAGCCTGCAAAAGGGCCTTCCTTTCTAATTCTTAAACCAATCAGACTTTAAGCTGACATTTGGTATTTTTTAACTGTTATGAGACAATGCTTGGAGCACAAAAATGACCATAATTGCTTTTTCATGTTTCTGTGGCTTGTTAATGGCTGATGGCTGAATGACTTGGGCTTTGAGTTTTCAAATTTTTGCTAGGAAGAAACCTAGTCCTTGGTAAATTTTGTTGTACCATCTAGAATAATATCATCAGAAGAGACAAGTGAGTAAGAGTTAAACATTTTTCTCAGGCTTTGTGAAATTCTTAGTTTCAATTATTTTGCACTTAAATAACTCCAGATCTGAACTAGAGAAAGCCTTTTCTTATAATCCAGATTTTTTTTTCTCTTGCAATTAAATGTGGGAATTCATAATGAACATGCCCTGAAATCTCTAACTTTTCCTCTGTTCCGAATCACATCTCACTTAGCAATAAACTTTATGTGGATAAAAACCCAACATGTTTGGGACATATTTAATATATAATCACGTATTTAAGGGAAATTTTAAAATTTATTTCACAGATTTCCTGTAAAGGCTATTTAGCAGGAATAGGTTTTGGTGAAGATTTAGGATTAAATAACAATATAACCCACAATGTTCTAGAGAATGTATGATTTTATTTTTTTTAACAGAAAAAATCAATACACCTGATAGTGAGATAGAACTTCTTCTGTTCATTAGTTGTCATTAGAGTGACAACGCAAAATAATCTTCAGTTAATGAATGAGGACACACATGGCTTGATGTACTTTTCCTTTAACAGTGTATCTTAACTTTTTTTCTATCTGCTGCCTGCTGTGGCTTATGAGAAGTCAATGGTAGAGACAATGTCTGCCAATTATGAGCTTTTTGAGATAAATTTAATTGCCCTTTCTGTAACACTGTTATGAACTGAATCCAGTTATGAGATTTTACACTGAGTCTCAAGTTTTTGTTGTCGCAGCTGTGGATGGTCATGATGAGGATCTGAACGTGAAGTTTTCAGGAGGGGAAAAGAATCTGTAACCAACTGAAGCTTTACATACCAGCTTCAAACTTAAACTCCTCAATAAGATTCAGATTGACTAAAAGCACATTTTCTTTTAAACCACTTGAGTGTGTTTCTGAACAGGCTGCAGTGAACTAGGCTGTGCTGCACCAAGAATTAATTTGCACAACTAAAGAAAATCTTCTGCCAGGATAATGATTTCAAAAGAAAGCACATATTCCACAACTTGTACAACAGGAAAATACTTGTGACAATACTTTCATATATAAAAAACAATTTAAATTTTTTCTCTCTTTCTATATGTTCTAGAAAACAGTCATGACATGACTCATTAAGTAAACAAAAGAGTTTTAATGGAGATGGCTTTCCATTTACCTAATGCAACCCATTAATAGAAAAAGAATAGCTAAAATTGAACCTTTTAATCTTTAAATTATAAATGTGGCATTTACACCTGGTCATCTAAGAGCTCAAAACAATTCCAGTAAACTAGGTCTTATTAATGGAAATGTATAAGCTATTTGTTTCCAAATTTTTTTCTCTTTGGCTTTTTTTCTCTCTCCTCTCTTTGAGAAAAAAAAAACAAACAAGGGATGTGATATACAAGTCATGTATCATTCCCTGAGGCAGATAATGGTCAATTATTCATGAAGAATAAAAGTCTACAGTTTGTTTTTGAATCCTACATTTGTGTCTGTCTGTGAACACAGTGAAGCACTAGTAATGTGGTAAACATAGGCCCAATATTTTGGAAAGTTTCTGGTTAGGGTCATAGCACAAAACTACACCAGAAAGTGCATTGATTTGTTGGGGTTTCACATTTAACACTGACATCTTCATTACTTTGTTGATTTTAACAACAAATAAGGAAGTGGGCTCTGAGGAGAACTCATGGAAATATATATTGCCTTCTTGAATTTAGGTGAGGTGTATTTGGAAAGAGAAGTGCTTCAGAAGATGTATTAAGCTATACCTGGATAAGCCTTTTTCAGATCTCCGCTTGCTTCAGAGAAGGCTTTTCAAGGAGTGATGTAAAATTTTATTTTATAAATTTTACATATTTATATCACAATTTTGATTTTTCAAATCATGTAATTTGGCAACTAGAAATTGAATTTTTAGTCCTTTCACTTATTTTTTATATTTTAAAGACACAGTAATGTATTTCTGTTCAGTTGGTGTACAATGAACTGTTTTCTGGGGTTCTTGGTTTTCTACTGTGTTTGGTTTTGTTTTCTGCTTGCTGGTGTAGCTGACAGAGTTGCATCACTTTATAACAATTCCCTGATGAATGCTGTGTAAGTGCAGAAAGCATGCTTTGATATTTTGATGACTGAATCTTGAAGATGGAACTTTTCTGTTTAGCTGAATGTTAGCATGTGCAGACCATCCCACAAGCAGGTCTAACAACAAGGTGTGACTTGAGCTAAGAACCATGCCCACCATTTGTGGGCACGTACTTTGTTCCTGGATGGGATTCTTGGAGCAAGGAGAGGCTTGCTGCATTTTATTTTCACTAGGATGAAACACTTAGCTCACTTTTGTATGCTGCCCAGACAGCAAGAACCGCTTTTTGTGAGACTGGATGGGAACAACCAGTTCTTTGGTGTTACCAAGGAAATAGGGTGTAACTGGGCTAAAATCATAGGGGTGTGGGGGCAGAAGGTCTTTCAGCTTGTGACCTAGCAGCACCAAGCTTGCTTTTCCTTTCCTAATTTAGAAAACATTTGCTGGTTATTGACTTGTATATGATATCTGGGTAGTCAACTTTGTTTCTGGTAGGAGTAAGGGAAACTTTGGATAGATTTGGAATATACAGAGCCCGAATAAATTGGCTTCAATTTTCAGCTTATTTAAACCAAAATAAAACCCAAACAAGTTTGGAAAAAACTTGGGTAAAATGCAAATACATTAAAAAACCCACAAACATTTACATTATGGTTCTGTAGAGACTGACTTGCAAAACTTTTCTCTGTAATGCTTCTATAAAACATTATTTTTATATTTGTAGTAACACAGGCATACAGAAGGAAATAGTAGTGTTCTTGGAGGATTCCAAGTAGTTCTGATTTAGATCTAAGAATAAAACCTAGTAAAGTGTGTAAAAAACCCCAAACCAAAACAAACAACACCCTCCCCTCCCCCCGTGTAAACAAGATTCATGCAATAAGCAGTGTAACAGAAATTGCATTGTATTTTAAAAACAGTAAGTAGAAACCTGGCAGATGAGTATAGAGGCTTTGTCCATGTATGAATGAACTATACTGGACAATGCAGAGAGCTGATTATGTGAGGGACTAATAAGAAGCAGACTTAATAGAGCAAACAAAAGCAGCAGTTAACTTCTAGAAGAAAAGATCTTTCTGTTTAGGGTATAAAGAAGGTTATCAGATCCAGATAAAACCCCTTCAAAAGCATGTGAGTTTATTCATTTGAAAAATCAAATGTAAAGCAGTTCAGTAGCTTCCTTGAGCTCAAGATCACAGCCCGATTAAGAAACAGGTGCATCTAACTGACATGGCAATTCATGTCTCTTAACCAAATTCTGGGGTTTCCCTTCCCATGCTCTGAATGCTTGTTTAACCTTTCCTATTAGTATTACTAATGTGTTTTATTCATAGAAAAAAAAGGAGTGTCAAAAGGTGCTGTGGATTTGCAAAGCTAGTCATGCACATCAACTAAGCTTTATATAGCCAATTTAATTTGCTTGTGTCATTTTAGCAGTGCTTTATAGCAAATCTCCTTTTCACCAATTTATCAGTTGATATATCTGAAATGTATGAACAGCAGCTGAACACATCATCCAGCAGCTATTAGTCATTTTGTATAACTGCCATCCATTCAATACTAAGGCTTATGTCTCCTGTATGAGCCATGAAGAACTTGAAATGAAAAATCTCATTAAGCAAAATGAAAATTATATTAGGGGTATATTGGACACAGTGTAGTCCCCACTCACATCAGTCCAAATTTGCAGATCTTCTTATTCAAAACCTGTGCCAATTCAAAGTTGAAACTGGGATGACAATTAGATGGGGTTAAGATAAAGAATTGCAGATACACTTATCTGGTGCTTATTTAACTTATTTAACTGCAAATCAGACCTAGTTCAGAGCTAGTAGGACTCCCAGATTTCAAGCAGGCTGGAATGCTGCCAAACCCTTTGAAGGAAGAGCCTTTGGCCATGATGCAAAATGTATTCGGTCCCCGAGTGCTAGAGTTCTTGTCTAGACAGTTACTGAATATTTCTCAATTATTATCATCCTCTTCAATCAAATTAGGAGTCTCTGATATGGTAATAAAATAAGACTAATTATCTCTAGGGTACATTAAGCACTGCTTTGGTTTCTGGTCTCCACCCACAATGTCTAATAACTACAGACAGGTTAAATTATAAGGCCACATCTTACCGTAAACTTGATAGTTGCTCTGCGCCAGCAATACTAGAAGGATGTGCAGCAATATACTTTTTATCAGCATGACTGGAGAAGCCTTCATTTTCTGGGCATCGTAGAGATGTTCCTGTGGGTTTAAAAAGTGCAGTTCAGATGGCCTCTTGTACCCTGCTATCTTTCCCTGGGGGTGTCTATCTGAGTCGATTCCCTTGCCTAGTTCTTCTGCCAAGGCAGTGCAAAAAGGGGTGGGGAAGCAACAGATCTGCAGAAATTTGATGGGTGACACAGTTGCCTCTTTTGTGTGTGCATGTGTGGTTGAAACTTGAACTGCTTGATCACATCACACCATCTCAGAACTCTGTCATTCAAGGCAAAACATCTTTCCTCCTTCTCTGGCTTCTGGCTCCCCTTTCAGTGCAATGAACGTAGATGTAGATTTATTTTTTTGAAAGATGCTCCTGCAAGTGAGGTTTTGATTTTACAAGCAGCAACATAGTAGTGAGAAAGAATGCACAACAGCATGTTTAAATTGTTCAGTCCTTGTGTACTACTCTAATTCAACATTAACAAATTTAGAAGCTGAACAAATTCACCAAGGCTGGTAGATGTCAGAAACACATCTGAATAATTTCAATTTACATTAGATTCATTTACAACAGTCTGCACTATAAGAGATGATTGTTTCTACTACTTATTCTTAAAATCCTCATCATATAAGGCCAGGTAATTTAGATTTGGATTTTTTTGGTCCCTTTTTCATCATGTCCTTGATAACTTTTTCCCCTAAAAATTTCTAAAACATTGAACCCCTTAGCTGAACCTTCCCAAAAACTTCTGCCAATGTGAAGTTTCTTCATAACGTTAGAACCTAACTGCAGTTGAACAGGAAGTCTGTATATAGCAATTATCACTTCTGCTTATAATGCAAATACAGCAACCCCAAATAGAAACCTGGGAGAAGAATTAATGCAGTTATAATAAAAGCCTATGTTAAAATGGGGAAGTTTAGGCTTGCCAAGAGGGTAGTCAAACACTGGAAGAGGCTTCCTATAAAAGTGGTTGATGGCCCAAACCTGTCCAAGTTTAAGATGCATTTGGACAATGCCCTTAAGAACATGCACTAATTTGTGGTCAGGCACTTGGAATATATGACTGTTATAGGTGCTTTCCAACTGAATATTTCAAGCTCTCTCGACAGAATATATACATGTTATGCTCTAACCAAAATCTGAATTATCAGGATGTTTGGAGAAAATCATGGAACAACTTTCTGAAATTTTGTGTTTGGAAGTGTCTGGTCAAGTATGAGAAGATCAGGAAAACAATACTGCTGTTTGTGAGAAACTGAAAAAGCCTTACAAAAATTGCAATCCAACCTAAATGGAAAGTATTTACGAAAGCAAACTCCATGAGTGTAACTGCACATGCTGCATACCTCCACTCGAGACAAAATACCGCAGCTTGTATTTCTGTAGAGTGAAGACACCTAGTGGCTGAATCTAGAGCTGGCTTAGACAGCAAAATTTGTATTCAGGGAGGAATTTCCTGGCACTGCAATTTCTGCCTGTGTTAATGTCGAGTTATCCAAAGCTTATGCTAGGAATGTAATTTCAGTAGTTTGTACTTAACCTCTATATTCTTATTAGACAAACTGGTTTGGGCAAAGTCCTTTACTACAGACTGAAGCTTTTTCATAAAATAAGGTTTTGTCTGTTCTCCATGGTGTTTTGAGACTGGCTTTCTAGGTGGATAATCCCTTTTTGATAACTTCGTGGAAGTATTCTGAACTGTAGGACAGGTACTGTCATATGTTTGCCTTTTGGGAGAGGTGAGGTGGGTCAGAGAGGCAGGAAAGAGGATGTATTCCCTATACTGCATACTGTATGTTGCTTGTGAGGATTCTGTACTTTGTATATTTAATAGTAAATAGCTTGGAAACTCAGCTATAGTTTGGAGCCCCTTTCTTAAAAATAATTTGGCAAATGAGCCTTCTAATGTCACTGCTGACACATCATTACTTCCTTTGTCTCCTTTCTGCTTTGGAGTATGGTTGTTCTGGGGTTTGGGTGGGTTTTGTTTGTGAGTTTCTGGTACTGATTCTTCTTGATAATCTTCATGAAGATGGCAATGAATCTGAGTCTTTCATGTTTTCTTGAAAAGACTATATTACTACCTTGAGATATTCCTGTGAGATTTTCTATTTTCATGATATTATGAAGTTACAAATGAGATCTTTTAGACCTCCAAATGGTAATTTAGATTTTTTTATTTTTTTTTTTTTTAGAAAATCAGACCCCGAATTTGAGACATTAAAAGATTCTAGCTTTCCTCTAAAAGCATATTTCAAATGATAGATGGAAAATACTAAATAAAGTATTTACCCAAGGAAGGAATGAGAGTCCTAATCCAAAACTGTATAGCTAGAAGAGGGAGAAGCCAACATTTGAAGATGGCAGAAAAAAATGTCACTTGATGGGCACTGATTTCCACTGTCTGCAGAAACTCAGTAACTTCTTTGTTGCATGCAAATCAGACCTCAGCTGAACACTAACAGATACCAGGTATTTAAAGAACTAATTCAATGCAATTCAAACACAACTAGCACAGTTCTGTATGTCAGATACTGCTATCAGGAAGAGACTCCAGTAACATGGAATGAAATTTAGACCTGAGGATTGCTATTATATAGAAATTTTCTTCAGCTGATGCAGTCCCTTTGTCATGCCTGCTGCTTGTTTACTGGATGCAAGTGAAAAAACCCCACCATAATCTATGCAATATTGTTTCTGTTTCCCCTCAGCTTTACTTCTGACAAGACCAAAGATGTGCTTTGGGGCTGCATTTTTCCTGTTTGCAGGTGGTTAGGCATTGGTCTCTAACCGCATAGAGAGACATAGAGACTCATGGTAGGCTCCACTAAGTCTACTGAAAATTTCTTTAATGCTACATTAAGGTTTTACTACCTTAAAGGAACAGCAACATTTCAGTCTCCCATCCAGCTCCTTGCCTGTCACTAGTGATCACACAATGTGCAGTAGTATTTGCTGCTGCATGAGCTAAATGTAAGCATGGGTATTCCAGCTATTGGATTCATCTTTTGGTAATGACAGGCTTCAGAAACAAGGGGAGGTAGGAAGCAATTTAAAGCTAATTATAGAAGAATTAAGGTGAGGAGGTCTCATTTACTGCGGCGAGATCCAGATTAAAAAACCACTTGAGGCAAACCAATATACAAAAAAATCTCCTCCAAGAACCTCTAAAGCTCCAAATTGCATTTCTTCCAGCTTTGAACAGTACAGCTGAATGATACCCTTGATTGAGCTGCAGTAGCTGTTTCCTATCTCACAGTCTACACTTGGTGCTATGTGCTTTTGAATATGAAAGAGGTGACCTCTACCACCAGTAGACAAACAAATTCCAAACTCCTTGTAAAAAGGAATCGGATGGACAAGAAAATCCTTACCTGATTTAAAGCAGAATTGCCACAGATTGTTTGTCCCTCTGTCCAGCCAATGTAAATGACAAACGTCAAGCCTAATAATCACTATAATTGTGGGCTAAAAGTACTTGTATACTTCATCCTACTGCATCCTGGGTATCTGCTAAACTGCCTTGATTCAGTGAGGAAAGTAAACTGCCACCATAAAGACTCAACATGGCCTAATTACTAATCTTTAAATATATGCTTCACCTGATTCTGCATTAGCTTTCACACAAACCCTTACTGACACATTGGTTTTGCAAGTATGTATGTGCTGTTTCAAAGAGGAATTGTCCATACAAGATAACTTAACAAAAGGGTATGTTTATTCTGCTCTTCCATTTCATATAAGGGCAACAAAAAGGGCTTGATCCTAATGCGCTGTGACCTGGAAATGACTGAAAATGAGAAAGTAATGGTTAATAAATCATCAGTCAAGAGGTTGCAACAGTTTCCCATTGATCCATCATGAGATGTCAAGCCAGGTAAGAATTCAGGAAAAGGAACATGCAAACAATCAAACCACACGTGATAATTTTTTATGGGCTGATGTTATTTGCTAAATTTTCATGAAGTCCCTAAGGGAGAGAGACTTTTTTGTGACTTTTTTGCAGGCAGTTTGGAAAGACCTGATTCTCCCACATTGCAGAAACCCTTCCTGAAGAGATATGAAACATTAGACAGCTGCAAGATCCTAAACCTACAAATCATTTACTGCAGTGTCAAAATGCATAACAATTATTTCACTGGGTGTTCTCTTGCAACAGAAAGCATAATTAGAGAATTTCTGTCACCGTGAAGAAAGTCACATACTTGACAGGAAACAGAGGTTTTGTATAACCAGTCCTGAAACAGACTTCAGTGTGATTGTACAGATAAATCAATGAACTGCTCATATATCAGGTTGATATTACCTTAAGGTGTGACAGCAGCATGCAGGTTCCTTAATTCTTCCTGTCACCATCCATTTCTACTACCTTACATTACATCATTATATGTGAACACCACATGTTCTTTATCCACTTTATTGGCAAAGTAAGATTCATGCATAAATCATATAAAAAAGGAATACCTTTTTATTTTTTTTAAGGGACTGGTTCTTTTCCATTACTGACTGAAAACTTTACAAAGTTCAGTATTTTTCTTCAGCATTGTTTTAATATTAAAACATAAACCACTTACTTTGGCCTTACTATTCCAACAGGAAGTCTTGTGGCACTGCAGGACTCAGGTATTTTCAGCCTTACTCTAGTATCTAATCATAAGTTCAGGACCTCTTTAAATAAAACCATTTCTGTGGCCACCTGCCATCAGCAAAACATCCCTACCACCAAACCAAAGCTAAAACATCTTCACTAGACCAAGAGAGGCTACTCTAATAGCATGAGGACAGTGTGAAGCTTTGTTAAAAAAACAAATTTATTTTGAAAGTTAGACACAACCTTAAAATCGTACAAAGACAACAAGCACTCAAATTACACAAAGAGTAAGTAGCAGTGAGTACAATGTGAATGCAACAACAGTGAGTCTTACCTCTCTTTATATGTAAATATAGAGATTATCCTTGCCAAACTTCCAGCTTTTTGTTTGTTTTTTTTCCTTTTCCTGAAAACAAGCTCATT